TGAGTATATGAGAATTATGCTGAAGTAGAATATATATGTGCATCTTTAAAGGGAGCTCTCTAGTTGGCAATAGAACTTGAGTCCATTAATGTCGCAAATAAACAATTAAAGACACCATCTAGAAAGTTATTGGATCATTAGACCAAGTAATATTGAAACATCAACGTTATTGATGATAATTTAGTAGAACCAAAAGTATTAGTTAGATATCTAGTTACACAGAATGGAGGAAATAAACCACAAGACAATAGATGTTTCAACTGTAACTTGAAAGGAAATATTGCCCAGAAATGCAGATAAAAGCACCTGGGTATTAAAAATCTCCTCTATAAAGATGTTAATAAGAAGAAACTGCAACAGAGGCTTTGAGGAACCCATAGCTGTTAATACCCAAAGGGGACAATATCCTAGGGAAATTTTCAGTGTTTTACGATGTGTGTATCATTGAAATCAAGGATTAGTGGACATTAGGAACTGTCTTAATGCAGAGACATAGCTGTGAGGTTAGGCTAGCTTCAAACAGCTTTAGAGTTTATGAATAGGAAATCCATTTACACTGTATGATAATTACTACATCAGAGGTTGAATTTTCAGTGACAATAAGTAGGGCAGTCATTGTACCACCAAGAAGTGAAATACTCGAATCAGAAATTATTAGAAATAAATGTGCATCTAGTTACTGGTCTATAATAGAACCAAACATTACATTGTGTCATGATCTGAATATTATAAATTTCATCATTAAGGCCATGAGCATAACAATCTATAAAATTTTACTCAAGTCTGAATTGAGATTTTGCAAGATTTGTAGCTATACAGGTAGTACTTCCTTATCAGAGAACATCGGAAGTAGTCACCTCTGAGGCAAGATGTAGGAAGTCTGATGTCAAACCCTCACATAAGGACAGTTTACCTGCTCGCTTACAAAAGCTGTATGACTGGAACTGTGTAGGTCTTACAGTGGATTAATGTTATATATTACATGACTTGCTCATGGAATACCAAGGTACATCCTCCAGCGTAATTATGACTTAGGCCAAATAAATATCTCATATGATTGATACAGCAGTTATAGAGGTGATTCCCGCTGAGACTTTCAAAGGAATAGAATCCATGAAGGAACAAGGAGTACTAGAAAAATGTACTAGTCCATGGACATCATCTATTATGCTTATGATGAAGAAGAAGGATGGATCTACAAAGACCTGTGTGGAGTATGGTAAGTTGAATGAAGCCACAAAAGAGAATTCTTACCACTGCCAAGGATTGACTCTACTTTGGATACTCTATTTGAATCAAAGAGGTTTTCAACATGGATCTTGAGAATGAATTTTGGCATGTGGAACTCGATGAAGCAGTAGAGAGACGACATCCTTTACTGCAACAAATGGGTTATGCCAGTTTGTTGCATTGCCATTTGGATTATTTAATACACCTATTACATTTTAATGACTAGTGGATTGTTCTCTCTCTGCAATATCCTGAAATGTCGTACTCATATCTTTGCATGACATAATCACATTTAAGAGGTAATTTGATTATATATGTAATGGGTTAGAGAAAGTTCTGGACTGGTTGAGAAAGGAAAGAGAACTTTAAGCAGAATTCCATCAACAGGTGAGTCTCTTGGAACACATAGTCAGCGGAGATGGAGTATCTACAGATCCATCTTAGATTGAATCTTTTCAGAATTATCAAACGCCAAAGATTTTATGTTAAATAAGAGAATTACTGTTACTTGTCTCGTATACTATCATCATTTTGGAAAATAATTTTCAGACATAACTCATCCTCTGCACAAATTACTGGAAAAACCAAATACATTTTGCTGGACTACTGATTATGAACAAACATTTAACAAAAGGAAAGAAAGAAATGATCACTGTTTCTTTATTAGCATACCCGACTCGTGAAGATCCACTTATATTAGATACAGATGGCAATGGTTTTACAGTAGAAGCAGTGTTATCAGAAATGTAACATGTAAAATAGCATGCGATTCTCAGCTACAACAAGGCAATGAATGCTGTAGGAAGGAGGTTTTGTATAACTTGTAAAGAGCTACTAAGTGTTATTCAAGCCCTAAATCACTTCCATCGTTATATATATGTGGATACTTTGGACAGAACATGTGGATGGCGAATTTTAGCAATCCAGATGGCCAGATAGGAAAATAGCCCCAGAAAATTTAGGAGTACATTTTGCATCACTCTGGAAAGAACCATGGAACTGCTGATGGATTATCCCAAAAAGCATGTGTTAATGAAGAATGTGAACAGTGTAAAGTGAGGGAAGCATGAGACAACCAGTTTTACTGGGATAATGTAAAAATACTTAAATAAGGTAATGGAAAAAGACGAACTAAATATAAGAGAATCCTTAGAAATTGCCCCCCCCCAGTGGCACAGCGGTATGTCTGCAGACTCATAACGCTAGAAACCGGGTTTCGATACCCGTGGTGGGCAGAGCACAGATAGCCCATTGTGTAGCTTTATGCATAGATTCAAACAAACAAACAACCAAACCATAGAAATTATTAAAAACCAAAGAAATGAATATAAATAGAGATTTAGGCCCAGGAGCTATGGAAGTAAGCTTTTGGAAATAGTTGTTGTAAATGGCGCCACTGTAAAAACATGCTAATGATACACGGACATAGGTTTATAAGAAACTTCATGCGTACTTCGTGGTTTATTCTCCTGAAGATGATGGAATTATTTCTATCGAAACATGTAGAGTTTTAAAGTTTTTTTAACTTATATTTTTCAAACTTTACAAATCAATTATTATGCAAGTAAAAATGTTGAAGTTTCGTTTTATGAATTTTATTTATAATACTGAATTCCATTGAGGTGACATAGAATGGCTGTACAAATCCCGCCACAAGAAAAGATGAACTCCAAAGTTAAGCAATTGCTGGGAAGAGCCATATGTTGTACTGAAAATAATCAATTTTGTGGTTTACAGAATCTAAAAGGATAGGTGGTCCAATCTAAAAAGTCTACACTGTCTTTTAAAATACTTTGGTGAGAGAGCAGTGAGCTGGGTAACTTCAGATAAGAATTTCTCAACTTGATAAAGAGCTATCCTTCATAATCCTCTGGAATGACTTCAATCAGAGCCCTGGAATCTTCAGCAGGTTGACCTTCCACTAAAAACTTGTTCTTTGAAGTTACCCTACTCACCACTCTGCCACTGGAAACCAGTCTTATCATAATTAACATCATAACGATTTAATCACTAATTTAAGACTATCCTGAGTAAAATCGTATGCGACATCTCTAATTTTTCAGATCCATGACAATTCTACCAATTATCACACTTTTAAGACATACCACAGTGTTTGGTTCCACTACACCCCTGCCACTATTGGTATGAGTATTTCACTTCTTGGTGGCACAATGAACACCTTCTCTATTGTCACTGACAGTTCAACTTAGTATAGTAATCGTCATGTAGTACATAGGGTCACGTACTGTGAAACTATTTGAAACTAGTCTAACTTCGTATTCATGTCTCCACATGAAGTCAGTTCCCAAATTCATTTTTCTTCGACGTCAATTATTTACACATCATGAAGTATAGAAAATATTTTTACAGTAAGGGTATCTTTAACCTTTCTTTTACTGGAATTTTACGTCCACCAGCTGTTCACATAAGTCTATATTTTTCTTCATCTCAGGAGGCAAGTTCACCTTTCATTAACAAATCAAGTAGAACAGTTGTAGCTGTGGGATCAGTGTTGATCAATATAATGCAAGGTTTTCTATCAATAAACCCTGGATTAAAAGAAGGGACTTCTTATCTCATTTGTGGTAGAATGGAGCATTTCCAGCTGAACATCTATACATCTGGCCAGTTCCTATATTTTTCATGTCTGGTTAGCTCTGGTTCTAAGACACATCCTCAAGGTGTTGTCTCCATGGTTTAATAACAGCTGTTGATTCCTTACAGTCTCAGCTGCAATAGCCATTGCAGTTCCTTTATTTCCTTTAAAATGAGTTTCTTGTCTGTACAGACTTTAATATACAGTTCCTTGTGACACGGTGTTTTAAGTTACAATTAAAATATATATTTTTGTGGTATACTTCCTACATTCTGTGTAGCTACCTTTATTATTAATGCTTTTAACTTTATATACTATCATTGGTGGAGTTGATGTTTCAATACTACAGGATATAATGATCTCCTAGCTTCTAGATGGTGTCTTTAGTATTTTAAACGTGACTTTAATGTATTCAAATTTCATCGCTAAATGGAGAGCTTCCTTTAAAAGATCAACAACCTTGGTCAATAAATACTCCATCATTCCTACATTGAACTGTCCCCCCATGGGACAGCGCTAAAATCCGGGGTTAGATTACTCGCAGTGTACACAGCAGATAGCCCTAAGGGGAGTTGCTCTAAAACAAACAAACAAATTGAACTAACTGCCCTTCATTATTAATTACTCGTACTTATAACTAATGTAGATATTAATCGAAATTTTTCGATTAATGTATTATCATCAGGATTAGCAGCTCCTTCTAGCAAACATCTAAATTAAAACATAGCTTACAAAAGTGTCTGTAATAGATACTTTAAAATACACTAATACCCAAATCGATAGGTTTAAATAGACGTCTTCCAGAGTGTCCTCTGTATGTTTAGGAAAACACATTTTTAATAATTATCATATGACTAAATTGTTTACAAAGATTCAGTTTCTAAAAAAATATGAGTTGTATAAATATAAATAAATGATACTTTTTGAGTGGTCAGTGCATAGTTTTAACACTATTTATTTGTTTCTTTAACAACAATAGCTTGTGCTTCCACATCTTCAATATGATTAGATGTTGCTTAACTTACAATATTGCCTTCAATAGGTTGATGTATACGATGAAAAAACTATTATCAGTAATTTGTAAGTCTTCTGGAGTGGAGGATTTATTAGTTTTACTAAAGAAAATCACAAAATTTAAAATATTATAATGTGGTGCGTGTTTTTATTTTTGTAGGGTGGAATGTACGTGTTTCAACTATTTGAATACTATGCTGCTAGTGGGTTTTCCTTACTTTTCCTCATATTCTTTGAAGTCGTCTCCATTTCGTGGTCATATGGTAAGTTGTTTTAGAATTCAAGGAAGACTTTTGGCTACAAACTTTTAGATTGTGATATGTAAGAAATATTATCTTGAACCTGAAATATATGGTGTAGCTACTCCTACTTAAACGTTAATTCTTTCAGAGAGAATTATCAAGTGCGTGTTATAAAAATTCATTTTAAGTACAAATTTTTCTCGATGATTGCTCAATATTAATCTTACGATAAAAATGGTCCATAATGTGCGTGTGTGTTAACATCCGTCATTCAGATTTGGCTAGTATGTACATTGTCATTTTGTTTTATGATTTTGTCAGAAAAGGGAGAATATAAAAAGTCCCTGAAACATGCATGACACATTTTCACTTTTCATAGACTTTTGGCCTGCATCACCCAGAGTTGTCCGATGATGTACACGGGCTACTTTGTTTTAGGATATTAAAGAAAGAGATAACACCCCTTAAATTAGAGTACATTACCACTTTTTTAAATAGGTTTTTGACTTTGCTTTTAAAAATACAAGTAAATAATCACTTAAATGACTCAATTAATACCTTCCAGAAAACGGTGTATCCAATTAGCATCAAATGAGGTCATTACAGATTTAACTGCAAGAGAAAGAAGGAAGGGAAACATTATTTAACATTGTCCTTGTTGTAATGATATATGTATGTATGCTGAAGTTGAGTAAAATATTTTTATAAAATCTGTCGGAAAATGAATTGTATAGATGCATATGTGATTATGACATCGAAAACATGAGCCATAGTGTCAGATGAAAATAAAGTAATCATAGGGTAGTATTTCAAAATGGTCAGCAAAAACTTATTTGAGGGAAAAAACCTAAGATTCCTCGTTATTAAAATAGTGTGTGTCTTACAGGTGTAAATCGATTCTACGACAACTTGAAACACATGATTGGCTATTATCCATGTATGTGGTGGAAGCTGTGCTGGTTCATCTTCACCCCTCTCATCTGTGCAGTAAGTATGAGAAGTGTGCTATCGATAACAATATTTCAGTTTCAACAATTTGTTTTATGTTTTCAAACTACTCACGTGGCTTTGCTTTTCTATGTAGGGGCAGTTTGTTAATCACAGTATTTAATATTTATTACGTTAGACATGGATATCTCCACGTGATTAAGTATAAAATAAGCGATATAGATAAACAACTTCGTTAGGAAATTAGTATAAAACAGCATCATTTTTTGTGTAGGAAAAAAAGGCAATATTTAGCCTAGATGCAATCCTAGAAGGCTTTTAGCATGGCCTGGCAGTTAGAGCGGATTCGAATACCATCGCCAAACATGCTTGCCCTTTCAGCTATGGGAGCGTTATAACGTGACACTCAATCACATTATTTGATTAGAGTAACTCAAAAGTTGAGGGTGGGTGGTATTGACTAGTTGCTTTACTTCTAGTCTATCACTTCTAAATTAGGGAAGGTTAGCACTGGTAGCCCTCGAGTAGCTTTACACAAAATTCAACAGAAAATCATTCCTAACACGTAGTCCCAAGGATTGGTTATGAAGATTGTGAAGAAGCCATTGTGATTTTTTATGGCTAAAGTTCTTTCATTCTTCATCAAGGTGCATCACCTGTTATGGGAGAGGATATGCATAAATCTGACCACCCACTGTGTGAAGCAGAGAACTTGTTGGAAATAAATCCAATATTTAGCTGTAGAAGAAATTCACTTTGCTTTAAAAAATGCAACAACCAATTACTCTTTTGTTCACAAATAGGGTGCCCTACCAATTATAGTCCTGGACCTTTATATGGTCATAGTAATTGTTCTCTAAACCAGCGGTGGCTCCATGAACGAACAGATCCATAGTGGGATCCACGACCACAAGTGTAAGGTGTAGATCCCTGGAATTATGCCACCAGTGGAAGCCAGGCAAAAGGAGAGAACCCATGACCCATCTACCCAGATGCAGAAATTGTTTGGGAGGGAAACACCGAAGGAATAGATTAACCAGATTGATTTGACTCTTAAGAGTTTGGATTGGCCGTATTCTATATAGATGTATCAAAGAGATACTTACTGACAACCAGTAGTGATTAAGTATTAATAATTGTCATGGGAGGAACTTTGAGAGCATGAAACAGTTTTTAGTTCATTCACAGGAAATATCACCACCATAGCCTGAACCCAAAAAAATGCAATACGTCATTTCATAAAATAATAAAACAAGGAATTCTCAGTTCCCAAACCCAAACCATAAGAGTTTGCCAGATAATAAAAAAAAGAAGATCTGATATGTTTTCCCCCAGAAATAGAAAGAGACTGATTTGTATTAGATGTAATGAAAATCTGGCCAAGCGTCGGAATGGATTCACTTTGTATTTAATGGCTTAGCGAATAACTGATGAGACGAAATTATCGCGGATTTACACAAATTCTTCAACTTTCTGGAAATAAGGGCCATACATACAGTTTAATTTTCGCCAAACTGGAAAAATACCGTTATCTAGGCCAGTTTTTTGATAAGTTGCTGCAGTTTGTAAAATGAAAATTCCATGATAATCCTTGAACTACGCTCATTAATATGTACATCAGTAAGTAAATCGTTAAAGGTACAACAATGTCGCCCTTTACATATAATACAAAGCTATCTTTTAGACACACGAGAGAGTATGTAAGGTTCCATATAATGAGAGAGTTAATGATGTGTGTCATGTTTTGAACCACTGAAATTGCTTTAACACATTTTGTCTGTGTGTTTTTGACACACTTTTTGCATTCGTTCATGGTTTATTACTACAACTAAGAGGATAACCAGTTTGTCAATGTACAATTATCTACAGCTCTCACAGGTTACCCAGTAAGTAAATTGTTGTGGCATGCAAGTGAAGAATGGTGGGATTATCAAAGTATTTTGGACTCCTACATATGTTTAGTGCTATAAACGTGTCAGCATGTTCGGTTTATCACAGCGTTGGGTATCGGGTATATTGTCAGTGTGGATTTCAGATTTTAATATGCTGTGTATGAAAACATTATTGGTTCTAGCCTTTAGCGTTAGCAAAAGTAGATAGTAAAGACAAGTTTGTGATAGGATCATCAGGAAGTGACGTGTAACTCTCCGTAACTAAATTCGTAACCCAGCATGGTATGCTAAACTTAAGGTGGTTGTTTCTTGGATTAACTCCAAATTGGTGAATAACGAGTGGTTAGTTTTGAGGCGTTATCGATAATTATAGATGTGGTCAAATATTTATCGTTATTTTTGCCTTGTTATCAAAAACACCATCCTTGCTTCATAGTTTGCAAATTTTCAGGAATTATAAACATTTTAGACTTTTTTTTGACAAAGTTACATTACAGGGATTTGTTTTGTTTTTGGATTTTGCGCAAAGCTACACGAGGGCTATCTCTGCTAGCCGTCCCTAATTTAGTAGTGTAAGACTAGAGAGAACGCAGCTAGTTATCACCACCCACCGCCAACTCTTGGGCTACT